CTACAGTTATCTGTCTTGGATGTAACTTTTTTAATGGTTCGACTCTTTAATATACTTTTAGGATGTGTGTGTGTGTGTATGTGTGTGTAAATTTTATTGCAAATAATTGCAAATAATTATAATAAAAAAGAAAAACATTGTGATTATGCATACACCTGTATATAAAGTCATTATATATCTTATTATATATAAATAGATTTTTACATTATATTCTTTATTAGTTTTTCATCATAATAAAAAACATAAAGTAACACTTAAACAGCAAACAATAAAACCAAACACATAATAAGCATGTTACTTTGTCGTTGCATACTCACATCCATACATGACATATAATACAGACACACTTAACGCATAAATTAAAACAGACTGCCAGGTATCTATCTCATGCCATATTTTAAATTATTTAATTGACATTTGATTACCTATATATATCTATATGGTCAATTATTTCCTAATTATCTCTATACTTATAGCTGTACATTTGTACCCTTCTCATTTACATTTTCTTCTATTTCTTATTTTTTCATACTTAGTCTATTCTTTATTTCTTTAATATACTTAGTTTTATATATGTCTTCTGTTCCTTATACTTTTCTTTACATTTCATTATTTTTCTTTCCATATTGACTGATCCAAGCCTGCATTTAACTAACTTAACTTCAACCTAGATTGTATTTCTTCTCTAACCAATGATCATTCTTCACTGAATCTCTCTACTGGTGTATTTCTAATTAAACCTGTCAATTTATCCATTTCTATATAATCCAGTACATTTCTTCAATTTCCATTTAAATTTAACACATATACTTTTTTTTTTTTACTATCTATCCTTTCTCAACTCAATTTTCTTCTTCTTTTTTGCTTCTTCTCTAACCTAGTTGTATTTCCTCCAACACAGCTGGATAATTCTATAAAAATATTGATCCAGTGAACAGGGATTGTGAAAAAGGGCAAATTCATGGTTGGGAGTCATTGTTGTGTGACTTTAAGTTGTTTTGGATTTATGGCGACCCTAAAGCAAACCTATCATGGGGGTTTCTTGGCAAGTTTCTTCAGAGGGAGGTTTGTCATTGCCATCTCTGAGGCTGAGAGAGTGAGACTTGCCCAGGGTCACACAGTGGGTTTACACAGCCGAGCCAGGATTTGAACCCTGGTCTCCAAAGTCATGTAACCCAGCACTCAAACCACTACACCATGCTGTCTCTAATGGGAGTCCTTAGAGCTCTGGTGCCACAACACACTGCAATTCCCAGACTTCCATAGATAGCATTGAGCCATGGCTGTTTAAGTGGTATCAAACCAGATTATTTCTGCAGTGCGGATGCAGCTATAGAAGGTGCACATCAGTATCAAATATCAGTGGAGATACCAGTGTCATTATGCCAATTTGGTGACCACAGGGAGGCAGCCTTGTTCCATTTTCTGATCTCTATTCGGTCAACCATGCCCTTTAGAAACTTCCATTTTCATAAATACTACTCTAAAGATTACTCTAAGAACCAGTGTGGCATAGTGGTTTGAGCGTCAGACTACAACTCTGGAGACCAGGGTTCAAATCCCAGCTCAGCCATGTAAACCCACTGGGTGACCTTGGGCAAGTCACATTCTCTCAGCCCCAGAGGATGGCAATGGCAAATCCCCTTTGAAGAAACTTGCCAAGAAAACCCGATGATAGGTTTGCCTTAGGATTGCCATAAGTTAAAAATGATTTGAAGGCACACAACAACAAAAGATAGTTGGATTTTAAACTTGCAACCTTTAGGGGACCCCTTCTCATTTCTTCATCTGCTGAGAAATTCCTACATGTTTCTTGGGCAGGTTTTCAAGGCCGTGGTTTGCACAGAATTTGGAATCATTCCTTTTTTTGTTTTAAAAAATCCTACACATTAGTCATTTTTTTTTAAAAAATGAGCAATGGATTAGCACTTGTGAGTAACTTAATGCACTACTGTCATTTTTCTAACTAAAGAAAACCCATTCAAAATGACCAAAAGCAGAGTGACCAGAGGTCCTCCTTTTCCAGGACATGCCCAACATTTCAACCTTCTGTCCAGGAAGGATTTCAAAATGTCCTCCATTTTTATTTTATTTTTTTTATTATAGTTTATACACACACACATACATAATAAAATCATATGAAGAACTTAAACATTGTTGAGAAAAAGAAAAAAAAATTCACAGAATTACAGAAAAACAACAACACATTAAAACAAATTTCTTCATTTCTTTATTATATTAATTTGCATCTCTCTTTTCTCCCAAAATTGGGACCCAAAGCAGCTTACAGTCCAAATAAACACGTATAAATACCAATATATAACACTATAGGCAATATTAGAAATTGATAGGTATATAAATTAGTAAATTTAATCTCAAAAACCATAGCATAATATTACTCCATATTTGTACTTGTTGCCTTATCTTATATTCTATATGCCCTCTTCCTTTATATTCTATATTTCATCCTATTTTCTTTTAAAAGCCCTTTCTTGTCTTCTCTCTTTTCCCTTTTTCCCTATAACCCATCTCTTCATGTACTTAATCCTTTCTCCTTGACCTACCTTCATCTTTCTTTCTTGTTATCTTTATATCCCTTCTTTCTTCCTATCATGTCAAAATGTCCTCCATTGTGAGCATGGCTGGGAAACGTGCATTTAATCTTTACATTTCTATGAGTGTTTTCTGCATTTGTATCGTAATGTCTTCCATTTCTCTGGAACGTCCTACATTTTGCGGTGCCTTGTCCTCCTTTGCAGTGAGGACATCTGGGCACCCTGCCCAAAAACCAACCCCAAATTCCCCCAAGTTAATATTTATGCATTAGCAAGTTAACAGGACTTATTATGAAAGTCTTCTCTTGGCCTCTTTTTTATTAAGAATTTTTTAAGTAATAAGGTTACCCCTCTTTATGGGGGAAAAAAGGCATGATGTTGATTTTAATCTGTCACTTCCAAAGTCTGTTTCTCCTCCTGCTCTGCTCTAGTGCCTCAACAAAGGATAATTCCCAGAATTCCAAAGCATTGAGCCATGGCATTTATAATGGGATCAAACTGGATTATTTCTGCAGTGCAGATGCAGCCGTTACCAATCTCCTCTTTGAAGAGTATCTAATAAGGTTCCACTTGCCCTAATTCTCTTGCTACATACTTTCTTACATTAAGAAGACAGTCAGTCTAGATTCCTGATGGTCATCTAGTAACATTGTCGAAATTTTGTTTCTGCTGTGTTTGTCCTCATTGTCATGTGCAACCCTATCATGGGGTTTTCTTGGCAAGTTTCTTCAGAGTGGGTTTGCCACGGCCATCCTCTGAGGCTGAGAGAGTGTGACTTGCCCAAGGTTACCCAGTGGGTTTACATGGCAAAACAGGGATTCGAACCCTGGTCTCCAACACCACTGTGTTACACTGGCTCCCTACTGTGTCCTGAACAGCAATGTGGCACCCAGAGATTTAGCAGGGGAAACTTTTCCTGACACAGGGGCTTAGTGATAGGAAATCAGCTTGATAGATGTACAATTTTAATGACAAGGAAGCAAGTTTTAATTTAATTTAGTTTAATGCATGGGACACTCTTCTCCCAAATGGCTCACTGTTGACTAGAGTAACTGGACAACGTACCCTCCATCGGTCCCGATTTGGCAGAGACAGTCCCAATTAATCCTGCACCATCCCATTTTTTCACCTGCTTTTAAAATGTCCCAGTTTCTCTCTCCCACTTTCCCCCTTTGCCCTTAGCTTAATTCAGTTGCTGTAAATCGAGGAGTTGTTCAGATAGTGAAAATAATCCCGGTAGAAAATAGG